GGTTGGTTCTTCTTATCGGATAAGGGTACCGACACATTTTTGGCAGCTTTCTGTAGGTCTGCTATCATAGTCCTTTTATGTCAGTCTACCTGGTCTTTTACTCAGAAATTGCCAACCAACCACAAAATAGAGTGATCGATTGGCTTTCTCAACAGATTCGTAGGGTTGAGGTGAGATGGTTCAGTGATAAAAGCGCCAGTTTACTGACCGAAAGTTCGTGGTTCGAACTCGACCTCTGCCTCTCGACTTCTCCTGTCTAAGCTTGGGTGACCTGGCGGTATTCCAGTCCTCGTGCTTCCCTCGGGTGGTATAGCAGCTAGACACCGATAGGGTGCTACAGCTGAACACCTTTTTCCCTTAAAGTCGGTGAGATTCGGGACAACCATCTTTGAAAAAAGTGCAGTAAGTGGGGATAGTCATACAGCTTTCTAGAACAATCTCGTTGAGCCACGAGCTATGAGACGCCCTAGAAACCTGTAACCCCAAGAGGTCCGTAAATCATTGTTTCCCCTCCTCCTATCACAGGTTGATTATAATCGCTCGAATTCCCGTGACGGTCGACGATCAACGAGATTAGCCGAACTTCGAACTCGATATTTTATTCCGCCCACTTCAAACCACATTGTCAACATCACCTCTCAAACCGACCCCATGCCAACACCTTACGGCACATGTCCATGTTTTACCCATACCGATGCTCTTCCTGGACGCCCTAGGTCTTCCTGCGATTCACAACTCTATAGGCCACAAAGCCAACCGAGCTGTGTGTGCACAGACCCAGCAATTCACCGTTATCCTCCGGAAAACAGATTCCCCACTCATTGGTCATCCACCCTGCCGATGTCTCCTTCCTATGTTCTGAATCCAGCCCATATGTCTATTCCAACCTCCGGACACGTTATTTCAGACTATCACGAACCCAACCTGTTGAGGCACTGTTCCGCAGTTGTTGGCGCACGTTACCCTCATGGATTCGTCGCCGAGCATTCTCCGCACTACCCCCACACACACCACGGACAGTCAACGAGGCATTCCGGTGTAATATATGCTGCGCCGAACCAGCCAGTTCCATCGTATGCCCCCAATTATCCCCCAGCTGGATGTGGACAACATCAACCTGGTAAGTTTTTCCTTGCTTGTTTTTGTTAGTTCCACCTCTTTTGGTACATCTCACTCCAGAACTGATGTGACTGACTACTGTCAAAAGTAACTACTTCACTCACTCTCTCCTTCTTTAAAGTATCAAAAGTCTTGTGTAGTCCACTTGGACGTACAGTACGCATTCCGATCTGAGTTAGTTCCACCCCCAGCCTGTACATGAATATCAACCGGGAACAAACGCCCCTGCAAAAACTGCGTTCTACCAACTATGAATAATACCTAATGTTTACAGCCGCCTTTTCTGGCAGTATGTGTGCATGTGTACAGTTGTCTGCTAATGATCTGAGACCACCGTGAAAGATGACGCTGAAATGAGGTCGGTTGATTAATTTTTGACGTCAGACCAATGCGCTGATGACAACCTTTCATCGGTGCTACTTCAACTATTGTTGTGCCTTCCTTCGACCCCCCCCCCCGGTTCCCCACACGGGACAACCTTTCATCGGTGCTACTTCCACTATTGTTGGGCCTTCCTTCGACCCCCCCCCCCGTTCCCACCCATGGGACATTTCCCAGCATTCGTTTGTGAAATTGGACTCTGACTGCTAATGAGCCCAATTTGGCGCTGTGAAAGGAGGAAAACGGCAGATGGTTCTTAAAGGTTACCATTCTCCGGCACCGGGAAAAATGTTATCGGACCTACGTGGTCGAGCAATGGTCGGTGTCAAGGTACATTTTCGCCACTGTCGTCGGCGACAATGGTTTAAGTTCAAAAAGGTCGACGCATTCACTTTTCGCTAGAAATGTTTTCACGGGATTGGGCTGAGATCAATATGTGATTGGGTTTTTAATTTGAGAGAACAAGTAGGAAAGCTACACATTGTGTGGCAACGCTTAAATTGGGCTGGCTGGTTTTGTGTTCCGTTTTAGAGCTAAAGTTTTGCGAAGACCTATACAAGACCATTGAAAACTGACTGCTTTGTCTAAAAAGCTTAAACGAAACCCATGGGAGTCGTCAGCGATGTTATTCGTACGACACGCTTCGACTGTAGTGTGATCTGATCAGTATTTCCTTTTAACTTGTCTTCCTTTCGGTTCTTTAACTGGTAACCCCGGGCACGAGTTAGGTGTCCCACAATAAATTTTAGGGTAGGGGAAGCAAGAGTTCTTCGTGAAGCTGCGACAATTTGTCACTTTGTGTCATGGTTACTGTCCCTTGACTTGCATTTGCTTCACAAAATTGGGTGTAGTCCTTCCTCTACCACCAACCCTTAAGAGGAGATATTCCCTTTACATTTTTCTACTGTGCTCTTTTTGGGGGAGAGGACTTTTTGTAACAGTAAATCAACCACTATGTGTTGTGGAAATGTATGATTCCTCCACAACTTCCTTTGCTCAGACTAATTCGGTAGGCTCTCATGCAAAAGCTGTGGTTTGAGGGCAGACATTTGGTCTGTCAGACTAGGTGAATACAAGCCACCAAGGCTTCTAATAAGAGTGGAATCATACCCCCATTCTCGCTGCCCTTCTTACGTGAACCCCTTTTTTTCACCGATTCCATAACTGCTCACAACAGCTCAACATAATTAATCATCAGAATGACCCTGATAATAAAACTGTCAGTACGGGATGTGCTCACTGTGTTGATGCATCCAGTCAGGAAGAAGAGAGTATGTGACAGTTCACCAATCATCAAAAATAGCTGCTCAAACCGTCCACAGAAAACGGAATTTCAGTCCTCTAAGGAAACATGAAGTGACCCTGAAGGCGTTCATTCCAACTGTCTGTTTTCCTTAACGAAAACTTCGAACCCTGTGTTATCATGGTGGACAGGAAGTTCAAAAACTTTGTCCTGCTCTGAACTGCCTCACATGCGTTGCGTGGCCTCATCAGAAAATCGTCACATTCACAACTCTATTGACTTTTTGGTTCTGTGTCCTGAATGTCATTAGCCTGCTCAGGCTGTTCATTTCAAGGTCGTTTGGCATAGACACCAGTGAGAATCGAATCGGTGTTAGAACCATTTGGACTCTCGTACATCCATTATGTCAGCGACCTCTGTTTAGAGTGATCCAGTGTGAGGTCATACCGATAGACCAACCACTGTGTTGAAACATCCAAAGGATGATGCAGTGATGTAAAATAGGGCTACAAAACGGGCTCCCCTCTCTATAAATTCACTTGAGTTCTCCTTATAATTGAGTGGATATTTGGTGGGTTTGAATGTAATCGACCTGGGATACATGATACCCTGATGCCAGATGTTTTGCTGGATAACTGAGTTCCTCTGTATTAACACGGAAGAACGGACGGTGATGTTGGCTCTAGATGGCTGGGTTGTTAAAGCACTAATTTATTGACTGGACTGTTCGAATCCGTGGCATCTCGACCACTGCTGCCTAGGTTGGGGCAACCTGGCAATATATCTGCCCTCGTGTTCTCTTCTGGTGGAAGTGGAAGGGTGTTACCGCCGATCGATCATTGCTTATTAGTAAGACACTGCGTAGTATGAATTAGTTAGAACAAGGCAGTAAAAGCACAAATGTTGCGTGCAAAATCGATGATTTCATACATATCGAACGAAGGAACCAGTATTCACAGTCTGAAGTGATCCTGTATGGAATGATGGTCATCCAGAGATGGAACATCTAGAAGTACATTCCCTAGAAGTACATCCCTACATCACACAAATGCTTTGGCAACCATTTGAGTTTTTGTGCTAAAGGAACGAATTTCGAGGGCTCGAAATCCACGATTTTAACAATTTTTCCATCAGTTGTTTTTCCCAGTGCGCTTAGCAGCTGCTTTTAATAAGAGAGTGTATTTACGACTTAGAACGAAGTGGTGAACCCGGTATTGGGAATGCTCCAACGAAAACCAGATAGTTACATTGTAATGCTATACAGAGAATTCGTTTAACAAACCAAAATGCACCTTCGGTTACTCAAATTCTTGACAGCTTATTCAATACATCTAATAGCCTCTCTCAAGCGGTCAACTGAGCTAATCGACTGGATCTGTTTGTTCTGCTGGGCAGTCATTTTTCAAAAGTACTTCACTGTCACAACACTGTTTTGAGCAAACAAACAAAAGTGAACTTTTCCGAGGGTGCCGTACGCTGTTGTCGACCTCTCTAAAGTGGGACAACATCGTGGCTACTGTCCAGTGAGGCGTTTTGTGATTCAGTTCACCCTCCACTCGTGACAAAAGGTCCTTCAATCTTGTGAAAGTGTCACGCCATTGTTGCGCGATCATTTGTCAACCACATGAATGAACCCCTTTACTACTAAATTGGACTGATTCTAGACACAGTCATTCCGGCAAAGTGTATGAGAACTGTATATTTGTAATGTACTACTCATAAGGTTGCTGAAAATCCATCGACAGCCCACGACCGGTTTCGCCCTTCTTCGGGCTCATCAGGTAGGCGCAGTTCCCGGGTTTCCGTCAACCTTATGTTCTACTTGAAGCCAAATTGCACGAAATTAGCGAATATACACTCATCTGTATGAGAACTGTTTATTTTCAGCCCCAAACTGTTTGGGTTCATTGCGAACCCCGTCATTAGTGTGGATGTGGGGTTTTGTTGTCTCTGACAACAGGTATTTGATTTTTGGGTATATCAGTCGAGATTTTGTCCTAAAACTAAAGCCAGTCCATCACAAGTAGCCTAGAGGTAGTGCATAAATGTCTTCTCTACTAATCAGTAGCGGGCATCTTACGAACTGTCAGAGCGATTCGAGCCGGTCACCTTCCGCAGTCAGCCCTACGGAGACGATCGAATGAATAGCGATGTGATGAACTCGCACTGAAACGGAATAGAAGGCCACTCATTCGTTACTCAAGGAATTCACACTACACAAGTCATTAGTTGGCTGTCAGCAAACCAATCAAAAGAAGACCACTTAATGTGGACTCCGTAACTGCAAGGTTTGTGGCCCTCTTTCCTGTCTAACTTGGACAACACTGTTGATTGGCAGCTGGGTATCGAACGAGTCGCTGGTCCGGATGACCTTGGCGATTTGTGTGATCTGCAAGGCTGTTTGATACCAAGGACATGCCTGGATGAAACAATACAGGTACCACATTCTTCGTTCAGCCTTTGGAATCCAGTGTGTCTTGCTGGCACATGTTCACGTAGATAACCCCGTACTTTTTTCATGAAGGAAACTACTCACAAGGTAGCTGAAAACTCTTCGATGGCCCACGACCGGTTTTGTCCTTATTGGGGCTCATCAAGTAGGTGCAGTCTCCGAGTTTCCGTCAAACTTATGATCTACTTGAACCCAAATTGCACTGTTTTCGAGAAGTACACTCATTTGTAAAATCAGTTTTGTTTTCACGAGAGACTCAACAGAATCTCTCGTTTATGATGTTCTACAACTGAATGTGCTGCACACAGGCCACCTCATGTTTCAGTTGGCACAATATTCGAGATATCGTAGTATATTTTCATGAAGCAAACTACTCACAATGTTGCTGAAAACTCTTCGATACCCCACGACCGGTATCGCCCTTCTTGTGGCTCATCAGGTAGGCGCAGTCTCCGAGTATCCATCAACCTTACGTTCTGCTTGAAAAACCAAATTGATTTGCAAATGAGTGTATTTCTCGATAATCCCGTACTGTTTTCACCAGCGTGATACAACAAGCCTGTCTGGACGACTGAACATTAGTACCGGATCAAATAACTTTCCAATGTGAATAAGTGACTGCTGTTAGAAATTTGCTGAACTGTCTGGTCTTGCAATTTCAGCATCGAACTTCATACATCCAGGCTAATCCGGTTGAGTTGAAACAGAATTCGGTCGTTCTCAATCACCATCACTTTCAGTTTGGACTCTAAGTTTTCGGTATAACCCATCACACAAGAAATGTGTGATGACAGCTGGATCACTAGCCACCTTCATCAGTCTCGTGTTTCGAGTGTTTTTGATGGTCCGTTTTGATGGTTCTGACCAAATCGGTCACCCATTACATCAGAGCTTATCCAAACGATATTACACACGTTCACGAGTGGTGTGGGGTTGTCTATCCTTTACACAGTTTTACCTGAGAACATCTCCAGTGTTCCTTCTCTCGCCTGTCCTCTCCGGAGTGTATTTGTTGTACGTCTCAGAAACCGGAATAAGTTTGTCCAAAAAGAATGATTATGTGGCCCTTTTCATTGTTGTCGTTGTTGACTCTTCTTGACGAGTTGTTTTGCTGTGCGTAAAACGTGTCTGACGTTGCAGTGCGATGCGAAATCGTTTCTCCTCTTGTTGATAACTGTTTAGGCGATTGTGGGGCGAATGTAGGTAAGTGTATGTTTGTTTGTTCTGAATTCCGGAATCTGTCCTGTTGATTACGACTCACTGACCCAGGATTTTTTTTACCAACAATTGCGAAACGTTCCGTGACGTTTTACTCCGCAAAACATTTCGTTTTGTTCACAAAACAATGAACACGAAATTAGAAAAGTATCTCCTCTCCCGAAGAATAGAAAGCCGAAAAAAAATCGAGGTCATAGGTAACCGAAGAAGCGAAGAATCATACAGTCAAATTTGTTTTAAAAAAATAGTTGCCTGTTTCTCTCACCCGATTGTCAGATTCGGAATCTCAAGTGGGATTTCATGACGACCTGATGGGGTGAAAATTCGTTGACTAAATCAACGTTTCCGGGCTTACTAGCATGTAGAAATTATGAAAATTGTAAGTAGTATTCCGTGAGTATTCTAAAGCGCCGTCCTTGCATCCGATGGAAGGTCGATTGGGAAATTGTCGGACAGCGTTTGTTCAGTGTTGTTGTCTGGTTTACAAACAACGTCAGGTGAAGCTCTTAAGAACGCCTGGGGTTGTTAGGTTCCTCAAAAACGAGGTTTTCACTCCCGTATCTGTTAGCTAGTAACTGCTTAGTTCTTTATTGTCAGCGAATGACTCCGCACTCGGAGGTGCTTTTCTTTTCATCGGTGCATCAGTTTGTCCTGTGGCAGTACCCGCACTAATAAACTCTTGTTGGTATGCTCTAGATCGCCTTGCTGGTAGATTCGGTGTTCACCAGTCTACAGATCACATGTCCTTGGTTATCTGGACATGATTCAACATTATTGCGTTCGAACATCTGCTGTATAGCTCCGTCTTACAGCTAGTTACTTTAGGGCTTCTACCTACGGACAAACAAAAACTTAATTTGAAGGGATAAATCGAAAGAAAAGGAGGAGCTGTCTACAGATGCCATTAACTTATAGACTACAGTTAACTGCAGATATGTGTGAAAATAGTTCGCGCACTGTATCCAAGTTTTATACACCACTCGGCTAGAAAAAAGACTGAAGCAATCAAATGCGAGAACAGTTCGACAGTTTTTGTTCTTTCACGGCTCTGAATCACCTCTATATGGTTGTTGGTATGTTTGCTAAGCTGGGCAATTTAATTACAAATGTTTCACCACCAATGAAGATAGCGTAATCAGTGGATAACATAATTAAAATATACTGCGAGATCTCGAATATCATTCCAACTGAAACATGAGGTGGCCTGTGTGCAGCACATTCAGTTGTAGAATATCATAAATGGGAGATTCAGTTGAGTTTCTCGTGAAAACCAAATTGATTTGCAAATGAGTGTATTTCTCGAAAACAGTCCAATTTGGGTTCAAGTAGAACCTACAGTTGATGGAAACTCGGGGACTGCACCTACCTGATGAGCCCCAAGAAGGGCAAAACCGGTCGTGGGCTGTCGAAGAGCTTTCAGCAGCCTTGTGAATAGTTTCCTGTATGAAAATAATCAGTGGTTTGTTAGGAAGCGTAGTGGTGCAATGATTGATTGTTGTGCGCTGAGTAGTGTTGCGTGCTGCTAGCCAAGGCTGACCTCGATCACGAATTCAGTTGTAGAATATCATAAATGGGAGATTCAGTTGAGTTTCTCGTGAAAACCAAATTGATTTGCAAATGAGTGTATTTCTCGAAAACAGTCCAATTTGGGTTCAAGTAGAACCTACAGTTGATGGAAACTCGGGGACTGCACCTACCTGATGAGCCCCAAGAAGGGCAAAACCGGTCGTGGGCTGTCGAAGAGCTTTCAGCAGCCTTGTGAATAGTTTCCTGTATGAAAATAATCAGTGGTTTGTTAGGAAACGTAGTGGTGCAATGATTGATTGTTGTGCGCTGAGTAGTGTTGCGTGCTGCTAGCCAAGGCTGACCTTCGATCACGATTGATTGTTCGGTCAGGTGGTTCCATTGGTTGCTCTGTTTTTCTGTGTCCTAATTGATGGACGACCACTTGGATTTTGAGCTTGGTCTCTCCCACTCTCCTACTCTTATCGGTGCTGGAAAGACTTCTGTCTTCAACCCCTCTTGGTTCCAATTTGTGACCTTTGTTGATCCGACTCTTGTTTCTTGGTATGCTAATCCAATATTCGGCTCTCGTTGAGTATTCCCGTTGAGATATTAGTCCTTTCCACATAGCGGTGCGTAAATCGGATCTAGTTCAGTGAGTTCGTGGGTCGAATCCATCATGGTGTATCATACTTCCAGAAATTTCCTTCGTCTCCCGTGTCTCCGTATGCCAAGACTGACCTCTATCGCTGGTGTGACAGCAAACAGAACAAGAACAACGAAAATCACTTGCAGAATGCAAGTAGTCCATTACTCAAGAAACCAGGTACAGTAGGAGTGGCAGACTTCAATTTTGCCCCCTGAAATTAGTTAAAAATGTGGTCGGAACTTTTATGCGCAGGTGTGAAGGTTCAAATTTCAGATCGTCCTGGAATGCCCAGGGTTAATTCATATCCAAATGAACACCTCTGCGATGCATCACGCATTAGTCCACTTTGCGCGAAAACTTCAAGCGGGTATGTCTTCGAGATCCGTCTCTAGTCATACCCTCATAAAGCGACCAACAGCATATCACACGAAGCTGTGACATAACCGCACACTCATGGATGGGATTGAATAAATGGTTCGAAGACAACCGTTTCGGACGTTGGACAACTCTGGTGAAAAGAATCAAGAATGAGGGATAAAACTTGTCCCTCTGTTCCCCTAACATGTGAGGCGCTAACTTTTTTATCTTGATGAACCAGAAGAATTTCTTTCTGAAGGCGCTTACGCCTTTAAACTGATACACTATTTGGTGATTTAAATTGTTTTACACCAATTTTTTTTCATTTAGTATACGAAACGTTCTAGGTGATCACGATACTCGATCCCTTGCTATTTTCCCTACCCCTAGTTCACTTGCTGTAAGCAAATCAGCTTAGAAGATGCATAAATTACAAGCTTCGTCATTCAGTGAAAAATCTAAGGCAAGGTACACACTACTCGTGGGCGATTAGTCCTTCTTATACGGTTCTAACTCATCTTTCGGCGAAGTAGATGCACACTGTGCCTTTCTTTACTGTTACTGGGTGCTGGGTTTGATCCAAGGACGAAAAAAGAAATGGGTACGTAATAGTTAACCGGTTCGATCAGAATGCCTAACAGTTGAGTGTTATTTAGCTATTAGTTATTCGACATTTCTCAAGGGGATCACTACGCCTCATATTGTTTTCCGGGGCCATAATAGAAGAATGATCTTCTTGAAGTTGAAGGACTTAAACAGCTCAACTTAACTCGACTTTCCCTTACTTGTCGTTGGAGTAATTATCGACACTCAGACACAGTTTTGCAGTGTTAGGCTCGCGCCTACAAGCAAGTCCAACACCCACAGGATACCGCTTTATGTGTGTTTCACTCCTATACACTCTTTTGATATGTTCACCCATCTTTCCGCTCTTTTGTTTTGTTTGTTTTTGTCCAAACCACAGGCAGCGCTATCACGCGACCTCAACCCAATATGTAGGATCTAAATATATCCGTCAGTCGCGCCCATACATTTTTGCATACAGGCTCTAAATAGTAGGAATAACAAAACTAATCGTTCATCGGTAACAATTTTTTGGTGCCTAACTGCTATGCCATCCGAAGGAAGCCTGAAGAGTGAGATAGAGACTAGGTTGCACAAACCTGGATAGGAGCAGGGGTTAAAACTTCTGCGCCTTGACTAGTGACCTATCGCGAGCTCTGTGTAACCTTATCCTTCTGTTGAATTCAACAGCTGTCGGTCCATTACAGACGGTTCGTTTAAAAACATGGGGGCATTTTCTCCAGGTACACTGGGACTACTCGTACATTTTCAAGGTGGATATGATTTAAAATGAACTTGTTAGACATTCGAGTCTTTATTTCATCTTTGTTGAATTCTCGTTCATTGTTTTTTTTTTATTCTCGTGGTGCAGTGGGTCAAACGGAGGGCACAGTATACGCTTCAAGCTTTCCTGCAAGTCGCTCCGTCATGCCTGATTCGGTCAGCGAATCGACCGAGCAGGCGTGGGGCGTCCCACCCGTTCCACCGCCCCTGCCTATGCCCATGTCGATGAGTAACTATTCCCTCACTTCTAGTATAACGTGCAACCACCCGACTTCGTTTGGAGACCCGATTAATCCCAGACGTTTACAAAACCAAACGGTATATTTGTCATCACTGAACCCACCCCAAGATTGCCACACGATCCCAACTACACATTACGCGCATCAACTCCAGCAAGATGTGCGTCCTAATTATACACAGGAACACTCTCCCGGATTGAATCAAAAAGAGGATAGTCGAACTTCCAACAAAGTCTACACTCAGGCCTACACGCGCCCTGACTCCCTGCTGTCTGGTTCCTCACTCACTGCAGAGTCCTCAGTGTCAGACTCTTTGCACAACTCTTCGTCCTCTCGGGATTCCGCTTTGGGAGGAAATCCACCGCTGAGTATCGGACATGAAGCACGGATTGAGGAAACGTCGACGCAGTAAGTAAACGTGTTTCTTGAGTGTTAAGGCCAGACAATATCAAGGCATTCCCCTTTCGTTCCGCTTTTAAGATCCATTCTTTTGACCCCGTTTACCTTACGTATAGAGCCACATATGAACAACTCTAGTGTTATTCTCCTGTAATTCGATCAATGTATATCCAGGTGATGCACCAAATAAGAAAGATGGAAAGGGTGGGATATGCTCAGTGCGACTACATTAGGTTCCTTAAAGCAGGTGGAGCTCGTGTACAAACCAGAGTCGAATTTGAAGTGCAAGTAATTGCGTGATGGTGGGTTGTAGCTGCCACAGTTTCCTTCATCAATAATTTTTCTTTGGGGGAGGGGTAGGTAGCTGCGCAGTGCAGGCGGGAGATGCTACGTTGGTACATAAATCCATCACTGTCATTTGGCTATCAAGTAGAGGGGGTTGGAAGGGAGCTATGCATTGAACACAATAGGTTGGATGCACAAGCACCAATGAGGGCGCGACTGGGCCATGTCTGACAATGCCTCTAACCATTGATGTGGACCATCTCGGGGTCCCCATCCAGGAAAACGGCAATGGCCAGCGCAGCTGAGTTTGCTGGTAATGGCTTTCACATTCCACTTCCAAGTCATTGTTTGACTGCCTCTGGCTCTCTTCCACCCTTCACGTGGTTGGGCGAAAAGCGCCCTTGGAGGAAGTCGGTCGATTGGCATGCGCAGCACCTGGCCAAGCCAGCGCAACCGATGCAGTGTGATCAGTTCATCTATCGAGGGTGAGTTATTTCTCCCGAATACCATTCGGCGTACTTCAGAATTGCTGATCCGGTGTTCCCACCAGATTCGGGCAATGCTCCGAAGACATCGATGATCAAACACTGAGTCTTTTGGCGTAATGGTGCAGACCTACATTCATGTATGTACGTATGTATGTATGTATGTATGTATGTAAGTATGTATGTATGTATGTATGTATGTAAGTATGTATGTATGTATGTATGTATGTATGTATGTA